TTGATTGAAAGATTTTTTTTTGTTTACAGTTAACCAGATAACCATGTACTTATTTATATTCGAGAAATTTGATGTTTTATTATATTTCTTTGAAAAAGCTTGGATCAGATTGCCAGGTGAAACATTGTATTTACTTCAAATTTATTCGGTTAAATTTTACAAATACATTCACATACATTCCAGGACTAACACAAGCCATCAATCCTCTTGTCCTTTCCAAGTTGAAACTAATTAATATCTCATATCAACTGGACGCGCTAAATACTTTGAAACTATTCGATCAAATTTAAACAAAAGTTCTTATATGTTCATTGAACACTTGAATGCACATGTTAATGTCATAACTTTTATAAAATACACATGATGTCATTGTATAACCAACCGATAGAATAAACAAAATCATCTAATCAAATCATCAACAGATTATTAAAACCAGATATATTTAAAAATAAACAAATTGTTTTATACATTTCATACGTATTACTAAGGTTACAAACAATAATTTGGTTTAAAAATAATAATAATAATGTAGTCTACCTAATGTAAATTAATGTGATGTTTATTTGTTTGAAATAAATAAAACATAAGGCTTATCACATGATTGAAAATATTTCCCATTATATTACATAATCTACTTCTTTGTTGCAAGTGATGACTTTAATAGTTCACATGAGCTTTGTTTCTACGATAGGCAAAAAAGAAGGTGACAATATACATGTGAAGCGAATTTATTCGAATATCAAGAAGATTTTTTAATGAAATTTTATAATAAAGATCATGAACCGATTAATGTTAGACCATCGTTGGAAACCTGAAGGTACTGGACGGCTGTTTCGTCCTAGTGTGGGACTCCTCAGCAGTACGCATGCAAGATCCCGCCTCGCGAGATTCGAACCCAGGGCCTTCGGTCTCTCGAGTGAACGTTTAATCCCTAGATCGCTGAGCCGGTATCTAACGCTGTTAGTGTCTAATATCAACTAATCCACGAAATTGAACGACCATCTTCCATTATACTGCGGTAGATACCTGTTTCTACCCAACATGGATTAGCTCCACTGGTCACGGTTCTCACTACAACTCCGAGAATTCTCTCACGAATCTAGTCACTAGTGAACACATGTTAATTATCAGTAGTAGGGTTGTGGAGATTATTAAGTTTCTTGATTGAGATCATGAACCGATTGATGTTAGTCCACCGTTGGAAACCTTGCAGCACTGGATAGCCGTTTCTTTTTATTGTGGGAGTCCTCAGCAGTACGCATCCACGATCAAGCTCGCGGGACTGAAGGTCCTACGTCCGAATCCAATTGACTCATGAATTCTACTACTACAATCTCCACAAAATCTCTTTCTGATCTTAACCAAACTTCTTCAAACATTTCATTGTTTTTTCCGTGATAAGTTTCATTTCTACTTTCTATAATACTGTTTTCTACTATTATACTGATAGATTATGTAAAAATTTCAAATAATAAATAGTCACCTATGATTCGAATTAAAATTCATATATGTAACTTATAAATGATGTGACAAGTTTAATCTAAGGACAACAATTTTTCGAATGCAATAAAAACTTCCATTTATCAGATTTATAGAATGCTTAACTAAAAACATTTTCTTTATTTTCACTAAATGAAACTACTTATAAATCATATTAACAAGTAGTCTATGTGTTTAAGTTTAAGTTTTATTTATTTTATCACATAGGTATAGGAACAGGGGGGCACCAAGTACATATGCGCCACACGAATCTCAATTGATTTGTGTGAGGGCTGTGATTCTGCCCGGGTGCCCAAACCGAAGCAGGTGGTTTTCTTAGGGGGCCACACCCCGAGCCTTTGACCTGAACGTCTGACCCACAAGGCAGTGGAGAATCGTGAGGAGATGCAGTCCCATGGTAGCCGGTGACCAACGATTGGTTCATACGTCATTTGTTCCTTCAGGATACTGGAGCCCATGTACACCATTGGTTTGGGATCCGGTTAAAGCGCCAGACATTCGCTTTTCGTCCTCTCATTTTCGTAAACAACAGTAATGCCACGAGAAGGCAGTGAGTAGGACTTTCCTGGCAGAGGCTGTATACGCATGGCCATGTGAGAGCATTTCGAGAGGGAGAGCGGACCCTTCTCACTCTCGGCGGTACCAGGGCATTTGGGTATATAAATATCATTTCAAGTCCTATTCACAGATAATTAATTAGTTGAGAATTTCTAAAAAATTTAAATTATCATCATCAGACTATAACTATTGTTAGGTCGTTTAATCTTTGACCCTGAGTAAAGTTCCATTTTCCATATATTTTTCTAAGTTGATCATTAAACAAAATAAAGTAACTTTGTAACTGATGTGGTTTTATACATGATGGCTAATACAATTGAAAGAAAAAGTCAATATGACTCGATTCAATCTATTACAACAAGCGACTAAACATGACACAAATATATCAGTTCTATCAGTATGAAAATTTATATATAAACAAACTTTACCACAAATTCTACATGTCGTACATTTTTTGCTGTATAGTCATATGTCTTGTTGTTTTGAGCGCTACGTTTTATATCTGGTCGTCGCTGATTGGTATGTTGGAAACGCTTATCACTTATAATCGAAACGAGGGAACTCTGTAATTCCCACTACGTGAAAATAAGAACACAAGATTGGTATAAGTGAAGATTTATTAACCCTCAAAACACATAGTATCATATTAAAAATAATTACAAAGTGGAGAACGTAAACAGTTTTACTTTATCAGTACAGAGTTGTGAAGATTGTTGAGTTTTGATTGTGGTGGAGTTTTGTTCTCTGAGCTGGATGGTTTGGTCGTGGAGCTTTCATCGTTCTTCTGAACGACATCATCAGCACAAACTTCAGATAGAAGTGAAGTGTTCGAATTGATTGTGATTATGAATTGATCAATGCTAGAATACTGTTGAAAACATGGAAGCAAGGGTGATATGCCATTTCATTCTAATATGGGATACCCCAGCAGTGCACATTCACAATCTAGCACGTGGAATTCGAGAAATCGAAGTTTCATTTTAATTTGTATAACAATGAAAAAATAATCTAATTTTGTTGTGTCGTATATTTTAAACGGCTCAGGACTTTAGTCTAATAAATATTGTATAAAACACCAAGTATTATAACTTCAATTATCATTCATGTTAACATTACATATAACGACTCTATTTATTAAAGCTATATGTTAGCAAATAGTAAACAAACTCCTATCCTCGTAAGTTATCTTATTGATGTTCCAATGGAACATGTAATTTTGTTATCATAATATGTTTGATGAATACTTATCAATTCATGAAGTGCCGCATTTCTACAATTGAAGAATATATGAAACTCAAAACAACTGTACGTCAGTCAAATATCAAAGTCACAATCTTCAATTCAAACATCAAGACAGTTCTACTGAACGGAGTCGAAACTTGTAGAACTACTACTACCATTATCAAGAAGGTACAAGTATTTGTAAATAGTTGTCTACTAAAGGTACTCAACATCCATCGGCCAGACAGCATAAGCAACAGCCTTCTGTAGGAGAGAATAGACCAGTTTCCAGTCAAAGATGAAATTAAGAAAATATGATAGAAATGGATAAGACGTACATTACGGAAATCATCAAACTACATCACGAGGCAAGCCGTAACTTGGAATCCAGAATGGAAGCGGAAAAGTGGAAGGCCGAGGAACACACTGCTTCGGGAGTTGGAAGTAGACATGAAAAGGATGAATAGAAACTGGAAAGAGCTGGAGAGGTTCGCTCAGGACATTGTTCGATGGAGAATGCTTGTAAGCGGTCTATACTACTTTACGAGGAGTAACAGGCACAACTAAGCAAGCAAGTATCAATTCATAATTATAGGTAATATTGTGCTCAAATTACTTCATGTTTAACATCATCACCGTTTATTATAGCTGACAAAATAGCTTCAATTTTACTCGTCTTTAATTTATCACCATATATACATATATATGTATTTATAATTAAGGAATTTGTCAATATGTAAATGATATCTGCATGTATGTATGTATGTTTGTGTATATCTAGGTAGGTAGGTAATATGTACTATATATATATGTATGTATGTAAATAATCATATGAGTATATGTATATACACATAATCTAGTGAAAAGGATATTTACGTTGCTATGCAACTTATTCGTTAACATTGATAAATATAACTTACCATGATCTAATATTATTTAAATAACCCCTATTATATATAGTTATTTATTTATTTATTTATTTTCATTTGATAAATCATTTAGCATTTTCAATGAAATATCATTTTCCCCAATCAAAATTCTATTTTTGAGTAGATCGAAATATTTAATTTACTAATATACTAGTATACATACATGTAGGGTTTTGTTGCCATAGGGCATATATATATATATATATATATATATATATATATATATATATATAACTTTTAGGCGGTACAAAGTCTTGATTATTCTAATCATATGACTTTCAATATAATTTAAATATTGAAATATCCCCCCCCCCTCAAAAAACAGAAATACCCTGTTTAAAATTCATACAAGAAAAAAAAAGATTTTCTAATGAACATCATTAAAATACTTGAATATTATTCATTCCGTCTTTGAAAATTCTTTATTATCATGTAGGATACTACTTATTATCGGATAGAAACTTAATAATATCATCAATATTACATCATATTATGATTTAATATTGTGGAATATATACAAATACACAAGTATATATATCTATTAATGTAAGTTCTTTTGATTGAAAGAATATTCCAGATTACTTTTTTCTCTCTATTTTATTGATTTTATTTTCTAATGTTTGAAAAAACAAAAAAAAACTCCCAAAGTTTCAATGAATCCATGTACACTTGGTAACATATATCACTATGTAACTCTTATTATCACTCTTCGATTCTTCATGACTACTTAATAGTAATAATAATAATAATAATAATAATAATAATAATAATTAGAGTAATTATGATGTGAAAATGATAGAGAAAACAAAACAGAATAATACACCATATATATATTATCATCATCAGCAGCAGCAACACCAGCAACAGCGTCAATCCATGAGTATTACACCAGATTCTATTTATAATTCACCTAATAATATATTACCAATAATTAAAACAATGTACTTTTGTAATAATAATAATAATAATAATAACCATATCAATAATCCATCCAATGAATTACATTTAACAGTACAATCAAATATTCATCGAAGTTTAGAAGCATTATTAAATGAATTCACTAATCCATTATTATCATCATCATATAATAATAGTAATAATACCCAAATGTTATATACATATCAAACAATGAATAAAGTTAAATCAATGAATGATTTACAACAGAATAATTCTTATGATAATACATTGAGAAAATCTAAAGTAAACAATAAGTTGGATAGAAGTGTTGGCAACAAGCCACCACTTCTATTATCATCATCATCATCATCATTAACATCATCATCATTATCATCATCAAAGTTATATCATTCATCATTACATTGTTCAAAGATAGAATTGAATAATAATAATAATAATAGTACATTGAATAAATCAACAAATTGTATTATATTACCAACAATTGATACATTGATTATAGATTCAAATAATCATAATCATAATCATAATAATAAAAGGGAACAATTCAAACAAGTGAAACGTATTTATGTACATTTAAATAAACAATTTAATATTATTAAACCAGTATTAATTAAAAGTAAATATATTAAAACATTTGATAATATATTACAAGAATTAAGTGAATTATTTCAATTACCTATACATAAATTATATACATTAAATGGTAAATTAGTAAGTGAATTTTTATAATTAATATATATGATTATATTATTATTATATAATCTAACTAATCGATAAGTATTACTACCTACTTACTTACTTACTTATGACTGTTACTCCTCGTGAATGAGTATAGGCTGCTCATCAGCATTCTCCATCCAACCCTACCTTGAGCAATCTTTTCCAACTCTTTTTAGTTGTTATTTATCCTTTTCATATTTGATTTTATTTCCTGACGAAATGTGTTCTTTTGCCTTTGTCTTTAACGCTTCCCTTTTAGGATTCCAAGTCAATGCATGCTTTTGATGTAGTTTGATGATTTGCATAATGTATGTCCTATCTATTTCTATTGTGTTTTCTTAATTTCCTCTTCAGTTGGGAGCTGGTTTGTTCTCTCTCTCTCTCTCACACACACAGAAGGCTGTTGCTGATGGTATCCGACCAATGAATGTTGAATATCTTGCGTAGACAATTATTTATGCATACTTATACCGTTTTGACGTTCGTATTGAAGATTCTGACTTTGATCTTTGTTGATGTACAGTTGTTTTGATTTCCATATATTCTTCAATTGTAAAAATGTGGCCCTTACTTTGCCAATCCTTGCCTTTACGTCTGCATCTTATTCTTCTTGCTCATCGATGATGCATGTATTACTAATCGATCCTGTATACGAATCTTGCATGATGTGATCGTAGATACATGCATTTCTGAGAAGTCTCATACTAGAACGAAACATTAGTTCACTGCTTCCAAGTTTTTCACGGTGGTCTAGCTTCAATTCATTCATGAATTCAACTATTGAAATTATTCTGATATCATTTCAATATTCACCAACGATTGTATGATATTTACTGTTAATATAGCTGGAGTTCAGATTCACATCATCTAAACATCGAGACATACACAGCGAAGTATTTCAACTCTTTTTTTTATATATTGACAATAAATATTTGTAACATTTGTTTTCTTCCATAGATCCACTGTTCAAATATGAATTGTCTCTTACCACCATTTATCATACTGTCATTTATTATCAAACACATCCTGTTGATACTTTAGAAAAACAAATTACCGTAAAATTCAGTTCATATGAATAGTGATATATTTCTGTATCCTAGAGAAAATTGTTTAATATTCGATTATAATTAATAATGACGAATGCTGAACATCGAATGATATAGGAATTTTCACTATATTTATAAGTCTATAGAGTTTAGAAGTAATATTCAACGGACTACTGAAATAAATAATATTTGCTAATAGACTCAATTATTGATGTGTAGATTATTCTATCATTAATATCATAAGAAGTTTTGTGAATATTTTAGTAATTTTAATGGGTCAGTCGAACCTAGACCACCATGGGAAACACGAGAGCACTGAATGGCCGTTTCGTCCTAATATGTAACTCTTCAGAGGTGCGCGCATCTACGATCCCCAGGATCCCACCGTCTCGAGCGCGAACGTCTAACCACTAGACCACTGAGCTGGCCAATATCCAACGGCGTTAATGTCTGACTTCAACTAATCCATGAAATTAAGCGACACATCCACTACTGTCATCAATCAGTTACTGTCTCACAACAGACTTGGTTGAAATCCACTGGTCACTGCTTCTCACTAGAACTCCAGAATATACCTCTTGATGCCCGTCACTAATATTGGCGATTGTATTCTTGGAAAAAAATGAACACTATATAACTGTTTTATACAAGTTGGAAACCTTTACAATATATGATTTCAATTAAACTCATAATTTAAACTAAGATTTTGTTATACCAGTTGTTCGCATTTCTATAAATTAAAAAGTAAACTTCACAGTACGTATAAGTACATAGTTGAAAAGATATTCTACTTGTATGTTATCTTTTTAAGTTCCAATAGTTGTAATCGTTACTTACAAAGCTTGTGACCTAAGGCAATATCGAGGCAATCCATACACGATGCATATATGCCAATAAAAGACTGATTAATTATAGTCCTAAATAACAATGGCAAGATACAAGTAAATAACACCAAGTGAATACAAATGCACTCCATGGCACAAGCAGATGACTTTCAGGACTCAATAGCTAAGTGGATAACGCGATTGAGTTTGAAATAAACTGTACTGGGTTCGAGTCACATAATGAACATCAACTGTGAGATGTAGATACATCCAACTGACGAGGCCGAAATAGGACGGAACGCGCATCAAACTGAATTCCATCGCTAGCCAATATACATCTTTGCCTAAAAAGCTTTTGACTTCAGGCAATATAGAGGCAATTTGCACAGAATGCACATATATGAACATGAGATTGATCAATTGCAGTCCTAAATAACAACGGGAAGATACAAGTAAACCATATCAAGTGATTATAATTCAATGTCTAATATTATTACTAACTTTTCAACCAGGAATACAATTAAGTTTAACATTTCCCAAGTCATTTAGTTTGATCTACAAATGTAAGATTAATGGATAGTAATCATTGATAATTATCTAAAACTAAATATATAATACTCTAAATTCAGACAAAGTCAATTAAAGATAATGTAATTTGTACTGAAGGCCTAAAAGTCAATAGTTTAATGCTATGCTACTTCGTAGGTATAGAGCGGCCTCCAAATACCCTAGTACGGTCAACGGTGGGGGGAGTTAGCTCTCCTTCTCGAAATGCTCTCACATGGCAACATGCATACAATCACTACCAGGGAAGTGCTACTCACTGTCTTCTCAGGATGGGGGGGTGTTTTTCACAAAATTATGGGGACGAATAGCGAATGTCCGGAGCTTTAATCAGGGTGGTGGATACGGAGGATCGAATTTAGAGAGTTGGAAAACCCTGGTTCCAATCATGTGGTGCACATGGACTCTAGAATCCTGAAGGAAAAAATGGCGTATCAACCAGTTATTGATCAAGGTCTATCATGAGAGTGTATCTCCTGACGTTGCTTCACTGGCTTGTGGATCAGATCTTCAGGTTGAAGGCTCAGGCTGTGGCCCACTAAGAAAAATGCCTGCTTCCTTTTGGGTATCTGGGCAGTATTACAGCCCACACAAAAATCAAGTGATTTTTGTGAAGCATATGTATTCGGTGACCCTTTGAACCAATATTCATGTATTCAGAACAATAAACAAATGAATTTACTTATCAATGTTTATTCGCGTCCTTATGAATAATTCCGTATGTTTGAAGAACCTATCCATTAGTATGCTCATTGACTAAATGTAATAAAATTGCTTTGAACTATTGTAAGTTGACCAAATGTTTATTAAACAAATTTCTACCGAATATTTTCATTCATAATTGATATTTAGCAGTATTTATTAAAAAAACAAATGAAAATTATGATCAGCATGGGTTTTGTGTGTGAAGATTTTAGTAGTTTAATAGTTGAATTGATGTGGCGATTAAAACTATGTCACTAAAGAATACTTTGAAACACAAGATAACCATTTCCTCCTCGTGTGGGACTCTACAGCAGTGCCGGTTCAGTTGTTTGGAGACCGATAGATTTTGTCTTCGAATCCCGTGGGCGGGATCGCGGATAGGCACTACTGAGGAGTCTCGAACTAAAATGAAGTGGCCGTCCAGTGATTCCAGTGTGGTGAACGAGAACACGAGTGTGGACAATCGAATGTATTTGTAGGCAAAATAACAGAACACCTTACTAAAATCTGAGAACCATACAGTAATCAGAACAGGGATTTTGTGAATATTATAGTAGTTTAATAGTTGAATTCATGTGTCAATTAAAGCTATTTACCATAGAAAACTTAAAAGCACTGGACAGCCATTTCATTCTCGTATGGAACTTCTTAACAATCCGCATTCACTGTTGGATGCTGACCCAGTGGTCTAGAGATTAAGCGTTCACGAGCGAATTCGCGGTTATGAAATATTGAGGAGTCCTATACTAGGATGAAATAACCATCCAATGCTTCCACTGTATTGAACAAGAACACAAGTAGGGACAATCCAACCTATCATATACCTTCAATACATTCTTTTGATAATTAAAACTTAATTAAATAATCAATCAACAATAATATTTTACTTAAACAAATCTATTCCTTGTATAGGTATTTAATATTAATCCTTTTAATTGATAACATTAATCGATTTCAATGTTCAATTAAATATTCATGTAATTTTTAATGAAAGTAATGCCGTAATAAAACGAAAAAAAAAAGAGAAGAAAAAAAAACAAAAGCAAAAACGGTTGTCTCTATGTATGATTTTAGTACACACATTCAAATGGTCATTTTATATATAAATGTTAAAGGTAATAAAAATGATTGTTTTTCTTTTCTATGTGAATATTAAGTAAATTGTACTGATATTATGTATAATGTAAAACGTACTAAAATGGTATCTGGAATCAAGGTCTCTTTATTTTTTTTTTTAATCACTAATCCATAAAGGGAGTAATATTTTTTTATTTTATATAATTATATGGTTGAATATATTTAGTTAAATAGGCAAATTACTAATGTCTATTAATCATTAATAAAACTTCTATAAAACAGTGTCTCTTTCTGATAATAATCATCATGTGATCACTAATGACTAGCTTCAAGAGATATATCTTGGAATTTTAGTGAGAAGTAGTGATTAGTGGAGTTGAGCTGTGTCCGTTGTATGGGAAGATACTCACTGAAGACAATGGTGGACGGTCACACAATATCGTAGATTAGTTAAAGTTATATATTAATACTGTTAGATTCCCGCTAAGTGGTCGCATGAGATACCGAAAGTCCTGGGTTCGAGTTTTGTGTGCCGGATCGTAGATGCGCACTGCTGAGAAGTCTTATACTGGAACGAAACGGCTGTCCAGTGCTTCCGTGTTTTCTATGATGATCTAGCTTTAATTGACTCATGAATTTAACTAACAAATTACTACAACTTCCATAAACTCCCTTTCTTTTCTATGATAATAATAATTTGTTATTGATAAAAATGCATAGTCTATCCTTTGTATGTTTCACGTTGTATAACGTTGATTAATAAAGAACAATAACTGGTATAATATTAGTTTCT